GATAGTAGTATTGTGACTTCCCTGCCATGGAGCATCTGGAGAGGCCCCTGGAACCCCCAGTTGCCTGCTGTACTCACTCTCTGTTCCCCAACACTATCTTTATCCTCTCCCTGTTCAGCTGCTCAAGCCTAAGCCTTCTGCTGTACCTGGTCTGATCTCTCCTGTCTTAGTGTCCTTGTGAAAGCCAGCTCTGGGAGGCAGGAAGAAAGCCAGAGACATCTCTGAGCTGGGTACCCAGTGCTTTCAGCAAGCACCCCTGGCACCTGGAGACAGTCGCTTGGGGAATTGTGTTGTCTAGTCCCCTTCCAGTTCTGAAAGCCAAGAAAATGCTACCGCCGCCTCCTCTTCTTCCTCTTCCTCCTCATCTTTTTTCCTTCTCCCTGCCTAGCCTAGACTGGCAGGCTCCTAGCCTCCTGGAACCATTTCCACCCACTGTTGTTTATTCCCCAAACAGGCCCCAGGCTGCAGCGGTTGAGCAGAAGATCCCAGGAGAGGATGAAGTCCTACTGAAGGCCCGACCCAAGTCCCAGAAGCCCTCCTTTCTGTGGGCTCTGGTGAGAACCTTCACCTCCAGCCTGCTCACGGGTGCCGGCTTCAAGCTGATCCAGGACCTGCTCTCTTTCATCAACCCGCAGCTGCTCAGGTCTCACTACGCTCCCTCTTGCTGCGGCCCTCTCCTGGGCGGAGGAGGGGTGGCTGGCTGCCCTAGAGCAGGAACCAAAGAGGTTTCTCTGCTTTCTGGGTGACCCTTGGTCCATGGTATTGACTCTGTACCTCGATTTCCTACTCCACATAATCTACACATATCATGTTCCCGTCAGGAGGAAGTATCCCCCTTGAACCTTGTTCAGGAGTCCTCTGGGGAAGTACCTGTATTTCCCTTTCTACAAATACAAAGGCAGGCGCGCAGGTGAAGCACACAGCTGGTAAGGCAAGGCAGATGTGAGTCTGGGGCTCTCAAGTCTAACCATAGAGCTCTTTCCACTTCTGCCAGCCTCTGCCATCTGTCACAGGAGAGGTTTGGACTAGAGGGAGCTCTCTCTGATGACAGGGTGAGATACAGAACTGAGCCCTGCATCGATTCCCCTCTTTGCGCCGCACAACCATTAATTCAACTAACATTCCTAGATTTGCAAATTAATTAATGTAGTCTTAGGGTCTTGTGGGAGAAGCCAAAGGTAATTCAGGAAGATTACAGTAGGTCACAGGGCCTGAGAAAAGCCTGGGGAGTCCAGGAAGTCAGCCTGCCCCCTTAGAGAACAAGTGCTGGCTCAAAAGGTTATCAAAAGAAACTAGTAAGAGAAGGAGGAGGGGAAGGTGCAGCCAGGTGAGTCACAAAGGGTTGGGGCAGTAACGACTGGAGAAAGCTACTAGAGGGTGGAGCAGGGGTGGGGAGAGAGAGGAAGCTGGGGGAGGGATGTCGTGTTTACATTTCCAAAGGCTGACCCTGCCTGAGTGTGGGAGGGGTAGGGCAGAGTAGCAAGATGCTGTTGGGCCAAGCAGGTCAGAGGGCAGCAGAAGCGAGGTGTGAAGCAAGGATCCAGGAGCTGTTCTGTCAAATCAGCAGGTTCTGGACTGTGCCACTGGGGGCTCATGGCTCTTTCCCTGATTAGTGATTTCGGAGAAGAAAGAGGCTTAGGTACAGAGCTAAGTGTTGGCCAGCTGGGACCTCCAAGAGATGCCTCTTAGTGGCGGTCCAGGGGCCCATATCTGGAGCTCAGCTCTCCTAGACAATCTGAGAGATTGAGGCCGGAGCTTCTAATGCAGCCAGTGATGTCTCCTTGTCTGTCAGTAGGGCCTCGGCAGACCTAAGAGACAAGAAGGGAGTTCTGGCCGGATTAGAGGGCCAGAGCTGGGGACACAAGATGTCTCAGAGAAAGAGAGGCTTCCAGTACACGAAAATCACTCGCAAACTCGGTCCCAAGAAGGCGGCATGAAGTTGGTTAGCAGCTTTGCCATGACTGGGGCCTGAGGCAGAGGGGAAGAGTCATTTCGTTGCAGCGGAGAGTGTCTGCAATGAACTCAAAGACTCAAAATGTGCTGCAAAGACACCTGTGTAGTTTATAGCGCTGTTCTGACAAGTTACCATTGTGTGGGCAACTTGAAACAATAGAAATTATTCCTTCAGTTCTGCCCCACTATCCAAAATCAGGGCATGGTGACAGGATTGGTGAGTTTTTTCTTGTTGTTGCTTCGCTATTGTTTTGGTTTTTCAAAACAGGGTTTCTCTGTGTAGCCCTGGCTGTCCTGGAACTTGCCCTGTAGACCAGACTGGCCTTGAACTCACAGAGTTCCCTCCTGAGTGCTGAGTGCTGGGATTAAAAATGTGCACCACTACAGATAGATCGGTCCTCTTTTTTTGAGATTAAGTCTTGCTATGGGGCTCAGACTAGCCTTGACCAATGGTCTCCTGCTTCAGGCTTTTGAGTTCTGGATTCAGACTTTGTCTCCATGCTCTGATTCAGACTGGTTTGTTTGTTTGTTTGTTTGTTTTTTCAAAAAATGGGTGTTTCTCCTGGGCCTGTCTTGGTTTGTCAACAGTCCTTGGTTTTCCTGACATGAAAATTCATCACACAGATCTCTGCATTTATCACATGCCTCTCTCTGTCTCTGTCTCTGGGTTTGTGTGCGCACATGCACTTGAGTGTGTGCAAATCTCCTACTCTTCTGAAAATGAAAAACTAAAGTCCCTGAATTAGGATCCACCCTACTCCAGTATGACTTCATCTTGACTGATTATAGCTACAAAGACTCTACAGCCACATAAGGTCACATTCATAGGAACCAGAGGGTCAAGACACAATTCAGCCCCCAGAACAACAGGCTTGACTCTGATGGTGCTGGGGAAGTTGCATGAGGTCGAGAGAAAGTTTGTCCAATGCACGGTGAATCTTGATCATGTTGCTTAGTGAAGGCACAGTGCTACCAGAAGAGGTGACAATACTGAGTATCACACAACCATGTGATCCAATCTTCCTGCTGGGGAAAGATCCAGTAGGAAGATTGGATCCTGGGCTCAGGGAGACAGAGTAGGGCTTGGAAAGCCAAAACAACTCCTCTTATAAGATGAAAACAGAGGACGAGCTTGGGGACACTTGGAAGTGTTGGGGTGTCAGGGAATTCTCAATTGGCAGTTCAGTGGGAAGATAAGGGGCTGCTGAGAATGGCAAGGAGTGGGATAGGCCAGGAGGTAAGAGAAGAAAGATAGAGAGAGTCACAGGAGAGGTGGACAAGCACCCCAACAAAGGACAACATATAACACTGGGGGCCAAGTATGGGCAAGATCTGTGGAATGAAAATTCTTGTGGCCCTGTTGTGGGGTCTAGAACCCCCAGCATCCAAGAAGGATGAGTAGGAAGGTCTAACCCAGTGGTTCTCAACCTCCCTAGTGCTGTGACCCTTTAATACAGTTCCTCATGTTGCGGTGACCCACAACCATAGAATTACTTTCTTTGCTACTTAGTAACTGTAGTTTTGCTACTGTTAGGACTCGTAATGTAAATATTTTTTGGAGCTAGAAGTTTGGCAAAGGGGTCACGACCCATAGGTTAAGAACTGCTGCTGTAGCCAGTGAAAATGTGCCTCTTCTGCCTACTGTGGCATTCAAGGAGGAGAGGGCCGGCAGGCAAGGCTGACGATAAGAGCTGTTGCGTTGGGGACAGGCTGAGGAGCACACTGGCCTCATACCTGCTCTTCTCCTGACAGCATCCTCATCAGGTTTATTTCTGACCCCACGGCCCCCTCTTGGTGGGGCTTCCTGCTGGCCGGGCTGATGTTCGTGAGCTCCATGATGCAGACGCTGATCTTACACCAATATTACCACAGCATCTTTGTGATGGCCTTGAGGCTACGGACGGCGATCATAGGTGTCATCTATAGGAAGGTCAGCCAGAGTGGAACGCACGCTGGGAGAGGTCATTTCTGGGCTGCTTGGAAGAGGCTCATAGGCTCGGTCCACCTTTTGTTCTTCATCTGTAGGCTCTTGTCATCACCAACTCAGTCAAACGTGAGTCCACTGTGGGAGAAATGGTCAACCTCATGTCAGTGGATGCTCAGCGCTTCATGGATGTTTCTCCCTTCATCAACCTGCTGTGGTCAGCTCCCTTGCAGGTCATCTTGGCTATATACTTCCTCTGGCAGGTAACTCTTGAGCCTTGTCCTCTGTCTCCTTCCTCTGACGACATCTATCTGTGCTGATAGATAAGCTGTGTCATGCCCAAGAAACCACCCCTAGGTACCAGGGAAACTTGGTCACTCACTCTTCCTATCCTAGGTGGTGTTTCATCCCTCAAAAGCCAGGGACAAGGGGGTACCCGGAGGCAGGGTGGACGTGGCTGTTGTTATCACTGTTGGTCTGTTTGTATTGTCTTCCCTGTGCATCCACAAAGCCTCCTCTGTCACCATCTCCTTCACCCTGCCTTCTCCTCTCCTCCTTTTTCATCAACTTTGTAGTCCTGGGATTGAACCCAGAGCCTTGTGTCTATCAGCACACATTCTGCTACTAACACTTCTGCCCTTTGAATTTACTGTTTCAAGATGGGGGTCTCGCTAAGTGGCTCAGGCTGATCTTGAAATCACCTTGTAACCCAGGCAGGTTTCAACCCATCTAAGAAGTAGAATCCCAGACCTGTGCCAGAGCGGCCAGTTTGGGCAACCCTCTCTGTGCACCACGGATCATCTATGCTCATCCTCTGACAGCTGGCAGCTTCTGCTGATGTGCTTGTGGCTGTCTGTCTCCTTCCTGACTGATGTCTTTTTGCCTTTTGCCTGTCATGTCTCACGTTAGCCAGGGTCTGCTGAGCTTTGTCTACAGACCTTGGTTATCTGTAAGTTCATCTGTCTTACCTGACCCTCCATGTGTGTGCCTCCTCAGATCCTGGGTCCATCAGTCCTGGCTGGAGTGGCTGTCATAGTCTTGCTGATCCCACTCAACGGAGCTGTGTCCATGAAGATGAGGAGCTACCAGGTGGGTGTTCCTAAAGGCATCTGCATTACATGGGAACACCAGTCTGGGGATGGCACTGGGGCCAGTGTTCATCTTCTGTTCTCAGGACCTCTCCACTCCCTGCACTGCATGTGGATGGCCACAGCCCCTGTACAAACCTTAACTCCTCCATCCCCATCACTGTAGTGACTGTCTTACTTCACAGCAGAAAGGCCAAGGCCCAGAGTAACTGTGGCAGTCCAGAGACAGGTAGAGCAAGGACTCAAGATGTTCTTACTTCATGGTGCTAAAATGTTGGTAACCAAACAATGAGTTATCCATCTGCAAATGATTGCTGAAGTTTTCAGAAGCTCCCTCTACACATAGAATAAATGGCAAACTACCTCAGACCACTGTCTTAGTCACTGTTCTATTGCTGTGTTGAGACACCATGACCAAGTCAACTCTTATCCAAGAAAGCGTTTAATTGAGGACTTCCTTATAGTGTCAGAGGTTCAGTCTGTTATCTGCATGATGGGGAGCGTCATGGCAGCAGGCATGGCAGACACGGTGCTGGAGAAGTAGTTGAGAGCTTTATTCTCATCCAAAGGGAGAGACTGGGTTCAGCATGGGCTTCTGAAACCTCAAAGCCCACCCCAGCTGACATACTTTTTCAAACAACACCATACCTCCTAATCCTTCTAATCCTTTCTAATGGTGGCACACCCTGGTGACGAAGCATTCAGTATATAAGCCACTCTTGGCCACTCCAACCACGCTCCAAGCTCCCTTGGGCCTTGCATGCCTCCGTTTCTATTCCTCGTGGGATGGCCACATTCCAGACATGCTGGCTTTTCCTTTCTTTAAGAACCAAACTCGGTGTATACCTCTACATGCACTCTTCCCTCTTTCTGGAATATTCCTCGCTCTCTTTGCCTCTCTAACACCTTCCCTTCCTTTACCTCTCAGCAGAGACATCACTTCCTTCAGACAAGCACCTTGATTGCACCAAGGTCTTTCCCCTGCTGCCCCTACCTCTCTCTCCCCTTGCTGCAGCCTGTTCTTTCCCTTTGGAGCACACAGTGATTTAGAATTAAGCATCTATTTTGGTAATTACTTTTCTGTCTGTTTGTTTTGAGACAGAGCCTCTCTATGTAGTCCTGGAACTCACTATGTAGATCAGGCTGGCCTTGAACTCATAAAAATCCACCTGCCTCTGCTTCCCAAGTGCTGGGATTAAAAGGCATGCACCACCATGCCCGGCCTGGCATTTGCAATTTATTGCCAGCTTCTGACATCAGACTGTCGGTTGCATAATGGCCTGGGCCAAATCCGAATTGTTCATCATGATATCCTCCATTTGGCACACGGCTTGACACACAGGCTCTCAGCACACAAGCTCCAAGCGGACAAACCACTGTGGTGTGCCAGGCCTTTGATTAGGATCAGAGTGAACAGAAAAACAAACAATTCCTGCCCCCCTGGGAAGCACATAGTCTGACTGGGGACATTGTGTAAAGGGCTAGGGGTGGGAACGGAAGGCAAGGGCAAAGGATGTTACCTGGTGAGGTTGATGGTGTTGACACTGAAGATGGAGCTGAGCCATCTCTCCAGCCCCGGAGCTGTACTTCTGAGTCCGACGACACAGGCTGTGGGGGACAGGGGTCTAGGCCTTAGAGGTGGGCTGGGGAAGCTCCTCAAGAAAACTGCAATGGCTATAGTTGATGAGATGGTTTGGGAGGTGTGATCCTGGCGGGCAGGAGGTCCGGGGGCAGTGGGGAGGGCATTACCACTGATCCTTTTGGCACAGGTACAGCAAATGAAGTTCAAGGACTCTCGCATCAAACTGATGAACGAGATCCTGAATGGCATCAAAGTGCTGAAGCTGTATGCGTGGGAGCCCAGTTTCTTGGAGCAGATAGAAGGCATCCGGCAGAGCGAGCTTCATCTGCTGCGCAAGGGTGCCTACCTGCAGGCTGTCTCCACCTTCATCTGGGTCTGCACCCCCTTCCTGGTGAGGCTCTCCACTGCTATGGGGTACCTGGCTGTTACTAGGCCAGCCCACGTCTTGAGGTTCCCTGGTGCCTAACAGACTCCACCGTGACACTCGTTCCCATCCTGTCCAGGTGACCCTGATCACCCTTGGAGTGTACGTGTGTGTGGATGAGAACAATGTGCTGGACGCAGAGAAGGCCTTTGTGTCCTTGTCCTTGTTCAACATCTTAAAGATCCCCCTCAACATGCTGCCTCAGTTAATCAGTGGCCTGACCCAGGTAAACCAGGGCAAGTAGGGTGTCTGCTGGACTTAGGATATGGGGGAAAGCCAGGCAGGGGTCACTTAGTATCAACGGGAAATCAAATGGTGAGAGTTCCTGGGGTCAGGGAGAGCCGTGGAGGTTGTGGATGGTTTGGAGTCACGGGGCCTGAGCTCCTGACACAGCCTCCTTATAGCGCTCTGGACCTTATCTTTAGGCAGTGGGAGCCTTGTAAGACTTGGTTATAGGAGGGGCTCCAGCATTAGTGAGTAGGTCCTTATGCTTAGCCCTAGAAGTTGGGCACCCATAGAGCAATGGTCAGGCTAACCCACACCCTCCCGCAGGCCAGCGTGTCTCTGAAACGAATCCAGGATTTCCTGAGCCAAGATGAACTTGACCCCCAGTGTGTGGAAAGAAAGACCATCTCCCCAGGTCCCCAGTACCCTTAATCCAGAGCAATCCTGCTCCAAACTTTCTAAGACTCCTCCTGTGACCCCTCTTCTCTGAATTCTACGGCCCCTCCCCAATCCATTTTCCTCTTCAGTCCCTCCCCCAGTCCATCTCCCTCCTTTACCCCTCCCCCAGGCTCCTCATGCCCCTCCCTCTGTCCTGGCTGGGGATCCCCTCCTTTGCCCAGCCTCCTCCCAGGCCTCCCTGCAGTCTTCCAAGACCCCTAACCCTGTGCATCTTGGTCCTCCCAGGCTATGCCATCACCGTGCACAATGGCACCTTCACATGGGCCCAAGACCTGCCGCCTGCCCTACACAGGTACCACCAGCTTCTCTCCCTCACTTGCTATCCATGCCATGCAGACAGAAGGTCAGATCAAATGTGGTCCCTTCTCTTCTTGTCTCTGTCTTTGACAGGGAGAATGCCAGAAGAACCTGCTTTTGACAGGGTGGTGTCAGGGAGCGAGGAGGTCTTGGGTCTGCAGGTGGAAGGCTTGGACCAAACCCAAATCTCCCCACTGACCACTCCTCCTTGCTTTCAGCCTAAACATTCAAATCCCAAAGGGGTCGCTGGTGGCTGTGGTTGGCCCTGTGGGCTGTGGGAAGTCTTCGCTGGTGTCTGCCTTACTTGGAGAGATGGAGAAGTTGGAAGGTACAGTGTCTGTGAAGGTGAGATGGGCGGAGGGCTCCCTGGAAGGCGTAAAGTCTGGGAGGCCTCAGACAAACCCTAAGGCAGCCTCTCCGCTGGCCAGGGGTCGGTGGCTTATGTACCCCAGCAGGCCTGGATCCAGAACTGCACGCTTCAGGAAAACGTGCTATTTGGTCAACCCATGAGACCCAAGCGCTACCAGCAGGCTCTGGAGACCTGTGCCCTGCTGGCTGACCTGGATGTGCTTCCTGGTGGGGACCAGACAGAGATTGGAGAGAAGGTACAGAGCCACCTCCTCAGCCCCGACGAGCCAGCTCACGCAGTTGCTAGCTTGAGCCCAACCCCGGATTCCCATACTCACTTGCAAGTTCATGTCCCATCATGTCCAGCTCTGTGCCAGGAAACAGCTCTATTCCAGGGAGAGTGACTCATGAACAGACAGGGACCAGAGAATGCCCCGGGGTCACGACAAAGGCCTATGCAGGGTGGAAAAAGAACAGTAGGCAGGGGTAGAAAGGTCTCTATAAGGAGAAGCATCGCTCTTGAGCTGACACTTTTTCTTTTAGTAATTTATTTGAATTCATTTTATGTGCATTGGTGTGAAGGTGTCAGATCCCCTGGAACTGGACAGTTGTGAGCTTCCGTGTGGGTGCTGGGAATTGATCCCGGGTCCTCTGGAAGAGCAGCTAGTGCTCTTAACAGATGAGCCATCTCTCCAGCCCCTTTAGCTGACTCTTGATGACTGAGAAAGAGGAGCACATCATTCGCTGATGCAGCCACCAGGTTTTTATTAAGCATCTGCCAGGGACTATGACATGGTAGTAAATGCAGCAGGAGAAAAATGTCTGCTTTTGTACACCTTACATTCCAGCAGAGGAAAGAAAAACAAAAAGCAAGATAAACAAAATATATATTAGATAATCCTAAAGTGGGGGAGATAAGCAGCCCAGGAATATAAGAATTTGTGCTGGGCTGTTTTGTTTGGGAGATTTAGCACTGAGAAATAGAGACCTGAACAGAAGGAACAGTCCTGGAGAGGACCGTGGAGCCCTGGCCATCTAGGGACCTAGACTGGAGCCATCTGAGGTAGAACAGACAATTCAAAGCCTCCGGCAGGTATGTGACTGGCCATTAGCCCAAGGCGGAGAACAATGTGGTTGGAGCAGAGTGACCCAGGGGAAGAAAGGGAAGCAAGGGAGTCGTCAGTCCAGACAGCTGGGATGCTGAGAACCCTGCGGGCCATTTGAACATTGGGGTTTTCACCCAGGGTGATAGAAGGGCCTTGGAGAGTGAGCCTAGGAGCAGTGGGTGGTCATGGAGGCATTTGGTGCACTTTGACCCGGTGGCCCTGATTGTCTTGGAACTCTTTATGTAGACCAGGCTGACCTTGAACGCTCAGAGATCTTCTTTCCTCTGCCCAGTCCTGGGAGAAAAGATGTACGCCACAAAGCCCTGTTTGATTAAGGTCTTTGAATTATAAAACATGGGACTCCTGGGGGAAGTTTTGTTTTTCTTTGTTGGGTTTGCATTTTATTACATGAATGTGTGTGAGAGGTGCGTGGGAGAGCCCACAATTGCTACAGTGTGTGTGGAAGCCATTTTTTTTTATTCTTTCCCCTTTGGGTACTGGAAACCAAACTCAGATCCTTTGACTTGGTGGTGAGCACCTTTCTCTGTACAGCTACCTTGCTTTTGTTTTTAAAGTATTTCCTAAATGTGTAATGGTCACCTAGTATTTCATGCACTCTCTTCACTATCTTTTCCGTGCCCAGTTCAGTTACATTATGTACATTTGCAATGTTTTGCAATAATTACTAGAAGCTGGGCATTCCAAATGTCACTCCAACCTTGTTGTCTGTCTTTATTGATCAGCTTTCAATTATTTCTCCCCAAACCTCTGGCAACCACTGCTTTGTTTTTCAGGCTCTGGCTATCTAGACACCTGTGTAAGTGGGTTTGCATAATATTTGCTTTTTATGTGTCCAGAGGGTTTCATGTGGCATAATGGCCTCAAAGTTCATGTCAACATTTTCTTCCTTTTTCGGGCTGAATAAAATTCCAGTCTATGGATATACCCCCTGTTGTTTTCCCGGTCATCTGTCATGAACACTGTCATTGGGCAGGGCAGCCAACTAGACAGGGTACTGAATAGGTTTATCTGCCCCAGAGGAGTCTAAGAGCCAACACCCACTCCTCCTATGACTTTAAAGTGGAGACAGTCAAGTATCCTATGAAATAGAGATTCAGAGGTCTGCCTTGCTGAGTGACATGGAGTTGGCTCTTGTTCCCCGTGGGCCTATCTGATCTTTTCCATCTACCACCATTGTTGGGGTCCAGTGCTAGCCTGGCTACACACCGTACATCACCCACCTTCTCCTCCCTCTAGGGCATTAACCTATCTGGAGGCCAGCGGCAACGGGTGAGTTTGGCCCGAGCTGTTTATAGTGATGCCAACATATTTTTGCTGGATGACCCTCTGTCTGCTGTGGACTCTCACGTGGCTAAACATATTTTCGACCAAGTGATTGGACCAGAAGGTGTGCTGGCAGACAAGGTGAGGCCACAAGAGAGTGGGAACAAAAAATGAAATTTGGTCTTGGAGGAGAACAGATGGGAGGTGTTGGGGGAGACCTGGAGATGTAGGAACCTGAGAAGCAGGATATGGTCTGGGGAAACCCATAGGGAGGCACACCCCAGAGACGCTGAGCAGGCTCTGGCTTGTGTGGGGTAAGCTGTGGGTATGCCTGGCCTATGACTCCTCGGGTTTGCCCCATGGCTCTGTACCCGTGATTGGGGGTATGCCTAAGGATGCTGCAGCTCAGAGCCTGTTGCCTTCTCCACAGACTCGGGTGCTGGTCACCCATGGCATCAGCTTCCTGCCTCAGACGGACTTCATCATTGTGCTTGCTGATGGACAGGTGTCTGAGATGGGCCACTACTTGGAGCTCCTGCAGCATAATGGCTCCTTTGCCAACTTCCTCCGAAACTATGCGCCAGATGAAGACCAGAAGGACAGTGAAGGTGGCAAAAAATTAGTGCCCACCAACCCTGGCCTCCCCAACGCCCACCCTTCCTCAGCATCCGCCTTGTTTAGGGTTTCTAAGTATCTCTGGTGCTGGGGACCTAGTTCTGGGAAACGGGAGCCACCTGGGTGATAAATGAACTGGACCCATGCAGATTCTACCTTCTCTCCCCTAACTGTGGGACCCTGTATCAGCACCATGGGTCTCAGAGTCTGTTTTTCTGTTTGTTAAAAGAGAAGGAGCTATGGGTCTGGAGAGATGGCTCAGAGGTTAA